ATTTTTCAAAATCGGTCTTAAAGCTGCAAAACGGAAAGCTTCGGTTTATTTTTCAGTCATTTTCACTTGTTGGAGACAGAGGGAATTGAGGGAGAGGGAGTGGGACAGACACAGTGGGGTGGGACACCATTTCTCCCACCTAATACCAGCTTAGAAATAGTTGACATTCGATAGCATTGTCTCTCTGAGATTTGTAGCCTTTTGCTAGAATTATATTACCTTGGGAAATAGCCTCCCTTTTTAAATGTCAGCACTTGGGAATACATTAATTTTGTCCCTTTGAGTATCCCCTACTGCTATTAAGGAAGTTTTTTCCCCTTTCAGAAACAAACAAAAAAATAGATATCTTCCTTTTAAGAGACAGAGGAGGGACAGAGAGACTTGGTACATCCAGAAGGCCTTTAATGCCGTTGCTTCCTACCATCTACCATCAGGCAGAAATCTGTCCCTAAGCTTTCTCCTCGACTGGCTTCAGGCCTATTTGGGGACAGAGTACAGTTTCTGTCATACACATACACATTCACACACAAATCAACCAGCTGCAGAGCGAGCAACAGGAGGTGGCAGATTGCTTGCCACTGTGTCACTGGATTTGGAAGCATCCCTTCCAAACTATGGCCAAAGCTAGTTATTCCCTGGGCTAACGCCAGCATGAGAACTTGGGGACCCTGCCAAAGCCTCGACAGCCCTAACCTAGCCCTGTTGCCAAAGCCACACAGGAAAGTCATCAATTCATTAAATTAAGGCTCAGTAAAAGATTAGAGAGCCTGTTATTTGTTCATCAGCAGGCTAGCTGCATATTGGATATCTGAGCATTCACTTTAAGGAACCTACACTATCTGGGGAGAAGAAAAGACATACATTCATTTTTTAAAATTTTTATATGTACTTATTGATTTTAGAAAAAGAGGAAGTGGGAGGGAGGGAGAGAGAGAGAAACATCAATGTGAGAGAGATACATTAATTTGCTGCCTCCTGTACGCCCCCTACTGGGGATCTAGTCTACAACGGGGGCATGTGCCTTGACTGGGGAATTCAACCCACAACCTCCTGGTGCCTGGAAGGATGCTCAACTAATTGAGCCACACCAGCCAGGGCTACACTCTTTAGAAAAACAAAAAAAGAATAACATCACCAGAGATGCCACTCAAAATAGCATGTGAGTAAATGTTAGTGACCTGTCGGAGGAGGGAGCTTTCAGAGGGTGAATCACAGCAGTCAGAGAAAGAAGATGGACTGGGTGCCGGTCCTCACTGTGTGATCACAGCCACGTTCCTAACCACCTCTGGGCCTCCATTCCTTGCCCAGGAGGTAGAGGTGCTGTGTGCCTTGTTGCATGGTTTTGGATGATGTCAGCTATCATACATATTACAAATGTTCAGTAAGTGTATGGGTTTTGTTTTCAAGAACATCATGGAGTGTTTGAGAAAGAAGTTTAGGTAGGATTGGCCCAGGGAGAAATAAAGGAAGACCATTCCTTGGAAAGAGGAAAAGAGAACTATTGTAAAAAATGTCATCATTGTCTAGTGACAATGCAAAAGGAGGCATTCTGTTTTCTGTTTACTTTATTTATTGGCATTTTCTCAACATGAAAATGTTTTATGTCTACTATAGAAAATTTGGAAAGCACATAAAAATGCAAGGAAGAAATTTTAAAAAATAAATATAATTCTGCACCCAAGAAAACTCCCATTCACATTTTGGTTTTTCTCTCAATCTTTTCCTTACACACATTTTAACATAACAGATCATACTATGTGCACAGTTCTGTTTTGCTTTTTTTGTTGTTGTTTGTTTTTAATACATTTTATTGAAATTTTTTACAAAGAGGAAGGGAGAGGGATAGAGAGTTAGAAACATCGATGATCAAGAAACATCGATGAGCTGCCTCATGCACACCCCCACTGGGGATGTGCTCGCAACCAAGGTACATGCCCTTGACCGGAATCGAACTCGGGACTCCCAAATCCACAGGCCGATGCTCTATCCATTGAGCCAAACGGGTTAGGGCTATGTGCAGTTTTAACTTCTGCTTTTTGCACCTGTTTCATGACCATTTCTCCCGGTCATTAAAAATTCCTCTTTACAAATATCCTTTGCAATAGCCACATGGAATTCCACACAGATGTACCAAAAATCTTCTCAGCTATTCCACTGATGGGGAACATTTAGGGCTGTTCAGAAACTTCACTGTTATAAATAACGCTTCCATGAATACCTATGTGGCATAAATTCAATTTCCTTAGGATACACTTCTATAGGTGGAAATATTGTTCCAAGGTTCCTGCTGAATACAAAGTGCTTCTCCAGGAGAATTCCAAACCCACATTCCCACCAGCCACAGGAAGACAGCTGATCTTATCAAATCTCTGAAAACTTTTTTACCTAATTTGATAGTTATCCAATAGCTTTTCCTTGTTCTCTCAATTACCTGCTTCCTCTACAAAGGATCTAAAGGGCCCTGGCCCCCAGGGCTCACTCAGTTGATTAGGCACCCTCCCCTGCCCCAAAAGATTGCCTGCTAGATTCCTAGTCAGGGTACATACAGAAGCATGCAGAAGACAGCAAATGGATTTTTGCTCTCACACCCATGTTTCTCTCTTTCTCCGTCTCCCTTCCTCTTTAAAAAATAAATCCATTAAAATTTTTAAATGAAAACATAAAAGGATCTAAAGGAGTCTTCTGATAAAGAAAGGAGTTTTCTATTGCCTACAAACAATCAAATATTTATTGTGCAGGACAGGCGTTGAAATTAGGCTGGAGTGCTGGGCAGAGTGGAGTGGGGTCAGGGCTGGATTCAGACGGGTAGAGGTTTGGGTGGGCACCCAGACAGTGCTAACCCGCGGGTACAGTGTCTGGGTGTGGCCCCAGGGAGGGAGGGCGGGGCTGATTCACCCGCTCTGCCCTCGGGGTGTGCCTGGGAGTCAGTCTTCAAAGTTCAGCCACAGGGGAGAGAAACCTTGGAGGCACAAGGCAGCCTACCTACTGGGTCAGAACTTTGAATTTTCCACTAACTCCCAAGCTTCGTGAAAAGCAAGTCGTGGACCCTACCTGAAATTCTGGTTCTTCAAAGGAGATGATGCCTATCCTGCCTGGTTTGTGAAAATCCTGACGTTTTATTAACGGTTTAATGAAAGTAAAAGCGCTTTTGAACGTTTTTTTAAACTGCACAATATAAGATTATAATTGATTTTTATGTCATTATCGTGCCGTGAATTGGCTGTTTCTGCGAGTCCCACCTCCTGACTCCAAAACCAGCTTTCAGTAGTGGAGGACCTGCACCCACAAACATCCCAGAGGGGACCCAGAGAAAAGAGGAAAATGACAATGATGGTCCGTGGAGAAAAGGTTCCCAGTCTCTGGAACACCTGCACACTGAGAAGATTTATCTGGAAGAAAACGGGGTGGTGTTTAGGGTCCAGTCTGGGCAAGTCCTCTTCTTGGGGCCGCCCTGGGGTAAGGGCTCCGCACCGCAGAGCCAGCGCCTCTCCCCGCTGCCGCTCACCCCTCCGCGGGTCGCCGCTTTCACTCCTGCGGTCTCAGCTCCGGCAGCCGCGCAGTGTCTCGACCCGCCCTTTCTCCCCTCACTCCCTGCCTTCACCCCCTCACCCCCCCGCATCCCTCACCTCCCGCATCCCTCACCCCCCTCAGCCCGCCCTTTCTCCCCTCACTCCCTGCCTTCACCCCCTCACACCCCCCCGCATCCCTCACCCCCCTCAGCCCGCCCCCCTCAGCACGCCCTTTCTCCCCCCACTCCCTGCCTCCACCCCCACCCCACCCCTCACCCCCCCCACCCCGCCACACCCAAACTCCTCGCCGCCCGCGGGAGGTGTGCGAGGCTGGAAGGCACTGTCTGGGCGCTCACTGCAAACCCCAACCCATCTGGGACTCCTCCCCATATCCAATCCCGACCCCCCACTGCACCCAGCCCAGCTCCTCAACCTCATTTAACACTCGTCCTCTGCGCAGAGTCGCGGAAGAAGCTGGCTGCGGAGTCCGGAGACCTGGGTTCCAGCCCAGCCGCTCCTCCTGGTCCAGCGCGGGCGTTTCATCTCTGAGAACCTGCTTCTGGCTCCCTCCGCACGGGGGCCTTGTGCTCCGTGAGAGAAAGTACTTTGTGCATCGGGCCTCTAGTTCCTCTTCTTTTTCTAATTTTTTTTTTGTTTGTTTGTTTGAAGCATTACAAATAGTAGTACACTATTTGTCTCCTTTTTCCTCCCTTGACCTCCCCCCCCACCCCACCGCATCTCGCTTCTCTTACAAAAAGCATATATGCATATCAGTCTCCCTCCAAAAAGATGCCAAATCATCCTTTCCTCGGAAAGTGGTTCCCGATTGTTGACACCTGACCCTGGTCTGTGGCTGCGAGTGTAGATGTTCAGTTCTATACAGCTGTGCTCTGAAAAAGTGATCTGAACTCGTTTTGTTTTCTGAATGGACCGCATCTGCTGCGAGAGGAGGGAACGGCGTCAGAGGCTGGACACGCTGCCAGTAAGGCCGCCTGCTGGCGGGCGGGTAACGGTGGTGAGCCCGGTCTCTGAGGCCTCAGTGTCTCCATTTGTAGCATTCGCATTCCTGGTCCAGAGTTTCATCCACGTGAACAAAAGGGACGCACCGGGACAAGCCGATGGCCCGCGCTTCCCACCTCTCTGCAGGCCCCTCCCGCCTCCCCAAGTTGGGGGACGCCTGCCCCCGGGGTGCCCTCTCCATCTGGAGACGCACGAGGTGACAGCGGGCACACAGCGGCGGATAGGGGGCTTCCAACGCTCACCCCCACGGGGCCGCCCCAATGCATACCCCTCGTCCCTCCCTCGCCCCATCCTGGGCTCAGCTACCCCCCCCCCCGCCTTCCTCCGCCCCGCCCTCCCCCCCCCCCGCCCCCGAAGCGCATGCGCCGCCCGCGGAGCGTGTGTTTATAAAAGTCCAGCTTCGGCCAGAAACTTCAGTCCGTTGGCTGCGGCGGCAAATAGCGAAGTGTTCTCAAGCACTTGGGTGCTTTTATGGTCGCTCCTGTAGAGCAAGCGGTTATCATGGACGGCTTCCATGTAAGTGCAATTTCAGCCTGTTTTGTTTGTTTTTCCTTAATTAATCAAACATGGGCACTTAGAGCGCGGCCCCACTCGGAGCGGGCAGAAGCGTCCAGGACATCGGAGGGCGTGTGACCCGGGACATGGCCAGGAGTTTGGGGCGCGTGGCTACGTGGGGGTTAGGGTTAGGGTTACAGTCTTTCTCTCTGTGAGCGAAGGAGAAAAGCTAGGAATCCCTGTTGTGGTGGCTGCACGTGTCTCCCCGGATCCCTGCGGCGCGCAGCGGGCTTGCGCGCTGTTTGCAAACAAGACGTTCCGTGCACCAGTGCAGGGAAGCGGCGCCCCGCGCTGCCCCGGGGAGCCTCTTCAGGGGCTCTCCTCCTCGGGGCAGCGGGGTTTCTTTGGTGCGAGTTACGTGGGATTCGGACTTAGAGGTGGGAAGCAGCGAGCGCCCCTGGACGGAGGTCCCGGAGGAAGACTGAGCCCCGGTTAACTTGGGGCAAAGGCACGGGGCGCGCGTTCCCTGAACTGCGGGGCGCGGAGCGGTGCCAGCGCCGGGCGCGGGGAGCGGTGGGCGGGAAGGGGGTCTGAGCGTCGCCCGCAGCTGGGGGAAGGGGGCGGCCGGGAGCGGTACGCGAGCCTTGGGATGGAGGGGGAGACCTCGGGGGTCCGAAGCGCCGCGCGTGAGCGCTGGGGTTCGGGGGTTTGGACAGGGCGGAGGTCGAAGGAGCACTTACAAGCAGCCCCGCGCGGCTGCACCCCGTCCCGAGTGGGTGCGAGGGAGGCAGGAGGGCGGAGCGACGGTCTTGGGGGCTCCCGGACGGCCCGCCGCCGCCGCGGCGCAGACGGGCAGGTGCAAGTGGGGAGACGGTTTGGCTCTCACTGAGCCCAGTTGGCGCTGTTTAACCGTCGGTGGTTTCCTGGAGGCTTTTGAAAAACCTCTTGCTGGGGAGGCTCTTCTTTCCCCCCAGCGGCGCGCAATTCAAAGGCGCTAGCCGCGGAGCCGCCCAGTCTCTCCCCCCGCACCCACGCGGGCAGCGCCTGGCGCGGGGCGGGGCGGATCCCGGGGAGCCGCTGCCCGCAGGCGGGAAGCTGGGGGGGGGGGGGAGAGAACGCAGGGGCCTCGGAGCTGGACCACCCGGCCCCCAGCGCGCCCTCCGCTTGGAGGCGTCCAGCTGCAGACCTCGACCCCATTAACGGGATCAGTGGGGGGGGGGGGGGGAAGAGCGACCCGGGAGGGTGAGGAAATGAAACTTGGGGCGAGTACCACGGGTGCAGTCCCCGTGACCTTCCTCTCCCGGGATGGTGCTGCGCTCCCCCCCCCCCACGCACCAAGGGATAAATGTGGGTTCTCAAAGGCCCCCAGGAGCTTCAGCTGGGGGACCACAGGGGTTCCTCACTTCTGACACCCCACCCTCTGCTTTAAGGCTGCATTCTCCCTTCCAAACACATGTTGCTTGAAGTACGGGATGGTTTGTTTTTAGACAAGTGATAAATGAGGGGAAAGCAAAGTTTTGTGCTTTAGAATAAAAAAGTCTGGAATCTTTGGGTCTCTCACACACACACACACACACACACACACACACACACACACACTCTCCTTCCTCCTGGCAAAACTTCATGCAGAAAGTTAACCCTTGCTCCTCAGAACCCACTCTCGCTGGAGTGGCCTCTGTTAGGTTTTGTTTGTTTGTTTTTTCTCTGAAGTTTTTTTTCCCTCTAACCTCTCTAGTGGGCGGAGCAGAAGAGTTAGCAAAGACATGACTTTGAAACCTTCTGAATCTCCTCGCCCTTTTGTTCAAAACCAAGAATTTTGTAATTGGCTCTGCTAAAAAGGACTCTAATGAAGTGACTTCGGGAGGAGGGTTCTAGGATTCTGAAATATTTTTCTTGTGCTTCATATTCCCCAGTACTTCGGTAGGAGCAGAATTTACTGAAGAAGGCTGGTCTGGGTTGGGTCTTAAAAATTGCTCTCTTAAAATAGCAGAAATGTGTTTTTTGAAGTGGGGGGATATCTGCTGAACTTGAAATTGAATGCCTATTCCCTTGCCTCCTTTGCAGATATACACATCAGATAACGACACATTGGACGACGCGGGTTCGGGTGACTATGACTCCATGAAGGAGCCCTGCTTCAGAGACGAGAATGCCCATTTCAACCGGATCTTCCTGCCCACCATCTACTCCATCATCTTCTTGACGGGCATCGTGGGCAATGGCTTGGTCATCCTGGTCATGGGCTACCAGAAGAAACTGAGAAGCATGACAGACAAGTACAGACTACACCTGTCGGTGGCAGACCTCCTCTTTGTGCTCACTCTTCCCTTCTGGGCAGTTGATGCTGTGGCAAACTGGTACTTTGGAAAGTTCCTGTGCAAGGCTGTCCATGTCATCTACACAGTCAACCTCTACAGCAGTGTCCTCATCCTGGCCTTCATCAGCCTGGACCGCTACCTGGCCATTGTCCACGCCACCAACAGCCAGAGGCCAAGGAAGCTGTTAGCTGAAAAGGTGGTCTACGTTGGTGTCTGGATACCTGCTCTCCTGCTGGCTATTCCCGATTTCATCTTTGCCAACGTCAGGGATGGGGGTGACAGGTATATTTGTGACCGCTTCTACCCCAGTGACGTGTGGCTGGTGGTGTTCCAGTTTCAGCATATCGTGGTCGGCCTTGTCCTGCCGGGTATCGTCATCCTATCCTGCTACTGCATCATCATCTCCAAGCTGTCCCACTCCAAGGGCTACCAGAAGCGCAAGGCCCTCAAGACCACCGTCATCCTCATCCTGACTTTCTTTGCCTGCTGGCTGCCCTACTACATCGGGCTCAGCATCGACTCCTTCATCCTCCTGGAAATCATCAAGCAAGGATGTGAGTTCGAGAACACTGTGCACAAGTGGATTTCCATCACCGAGGCCCTGGCCTTTTTCCACTGCTGCCTGAATCCCATCCTCTATGCCTTCCTCGGAGCCAAATTTAAAACTTCCGCCCAGCATGCACTCACCTCCGTGAGCAGAGGGTCCAGCCTCAAGATTCTCTCCAAGGGAAAGCGGGGCGGACATTCTTCTGTTTCCACTGAGTCCGAGTCTTCAAGTTTCCACTCCAGCTAACGCTGATAGAAAAGACGTTTTATACATGAAAGAACTTTTTTTTTAAGTTACACATTTTTTTTTCAGATATAAAAGACTGACCAATACTGTACAGTTTTTATTACCTGTTGGATTTTTTTCTTGTGTTTAGTTTTTGTGAGGTTTTAATTGACTTATTTATATAAATATTTGTTTGTTTCATGTTGATGAGTGTCTAGGCAGGACCTGTGGCCAAGTTCTTAGTTGCTGTATGTCTGGTTGTGGAAGTTGTAGAAAAAGGAGCTGAACATTCCAGGATGTGCAGTGAGTCACTTAAGCTAGAAATGATCCTCAGCTGTTTGTGTATAAATAATCTCTCCATTCCAGTGGAAGTTTCTTTGCCTGTTCTGAAATTGTTTGGTTACACTATGTGATTTTTTGCTGTAGAAGATGGCCCTTAGAGCAAATCCTGAAGTAGAAATGCTGGTTTTTCATTTTTTTTTCAGGAGTGGGTTGATTTCAGCACATACTATGTACAGTCTTGTTTTAAGTTGTTAATAAAAGTACATGAAAAACTTACTGAGTTTTATGTTCTGATTTCCGTTGCTATTCCTTTAGTTGGCAAAAGTAAAACAAACAAACAAACAAACAAAAAAACCAATGGGTACATTTATGGCATGCCAGGTTCTCTCCTAGGTATATTATTTATAATATTTTACTTAATCCTAGTCACAGTTCTTACAATGGCTCTGGTTCTAGTATATGATTACTTGCCTATTACGGAGCAGGAAACCAAAGCACAGAAAGCCGAAGTGACTCAGTCAAAGGCATTTGGTAAGTAGCACAGCAATATTTCAAACAGGTAAGATAATTTCAAAATCTGAAGCCTCAACCACTGTTAACATAGAAATTAAGAATTGTCCAGTCAATACCTATTCTTATGAATGAATCTTGAGAATCTTTCTGCAGGAGACATGTACAGAAAGGAGAAAAGGTAAGCAACACCACATTAGATTTTCCTACTGCTCTGCCTTGGGCAGTCCAGATCTGTGCCAGGCCAGGCATTGCAGCTTACTGTATACTCCTCTCACCCAGTCCCCTCAGTGCAGATAGCATCCCTCCCTTCTCACTGACCAGAGAACGTGAAGTTCAAAGACTTTCCATAACTTGCACTTTTCAAGGGACATACCAAGAGCTAATTCCATTTATCATTCTAGCCCTTGCTATTAACCATTACCACTATTCTCACCCAGAACACCTGGTCATGAGTCAACTGAACTGTTATTGAAAATAAAGCCAAAAGTGAATGTTTTCTTCATAAAATTAACCATGCCGAAAATACTCCTCTTACAATATCTTCTATGCAAATATCAACACAATCTATTGCAACACCTAGCGGCACCTCACGGGTTCAACCAAGCAGATAAAAGTTAAACTGATGCTTTCACGGCTCAGGAAAAAGGTTGACTGAAGCAAGCTCCATTGCTCATATTTTGCACAAGACTTTGGAGTCTTATGTAACAGCACCCATAGCTATTTACACTAGTCATTGTGCAAGCCCCAGGCTCTTGAGTAAATTTCAACTCCAATCCCCATTTAAAGAGAATTTCTAAACTATAGTAGTCTTACCTATCACATTTGGAATACAAACAGAGCACTCCAGGCATGTACTCAAAGGTAATAATAACCAAGATATAATTAAGGCAATATTTGCTCTACTTTTTGTCATTGTTGCTGGCACAGAAAATCCATTTTAGAAGGAAAAAAATGCAATGTTTTATCTTGCAGGGGCAAATCACATTTGTTGAAGGCAAATTATAGATCCTGTGAAGGGAAATAACTTAATTACTTAAAATAGAATCCAATTTGGCTGTACATCTTTGCTGTAGTCTATGGATCTGGGATAGTTCAGAGTGGTATTCCTAGTCCACTTGAGAACATAATTAGATTTTAGATAGGAAATTATCTTGAGGTTTCTTGGTTTTCCCTGGGAGGCCTAATTGGATCACCCTTCATTTAAGCATAGTTTTTCATGTATTCTTTCAAAGGCTTAGTCTTAAAGCCATGACCATTGTAAAAGCCTTCACTTGAACTTTCTCTATAAATATTTATTCTTGAGGAGACAATAGGAGAAATCCTTGGAAGGAATTTTTTTCTTTCACATCTTGGCTCAAACCCTTGTCACCCTGAATTCCTCTGCTCTGCCCTGGAGTTACAACAAAAGGAACCATGCTGAAACAAAATTCCCAGTGTGACCAGTCTTAATGGATAGTCCATTCTCCCTTGGAACAAAGGTGGGATATCTCTTTTTCAAAAAGAGAAAAAGCCTTGGTTCTCTTCCTGCCCTGAAAACATCCCCCCACCCCTACACCCCCACACCCCCGACACCCCCGCAATCATTCTCTGCCCGACCCTGCCATGTCCCAAGCAGCTCCAAAGCCGCCCTGTGTCGTGGTTGTCCTCAGTGCTGGGAAACCCGGTCTGCTGGCCAGCCCTTGCATGAAGTGGCTGATTGTTCCCATTCCTCATCCCGGCTGAATGGGACCTTTGAAGGTCAGTAATGTAGATCCAGTTGTATAATGAAAGCTAAAATATTTAAATTATATGCATGCTGCCAATAATGGCATAAATGTGACATTCGAGTTAATAACATTAACCCTGTAACTGGAGGGGAAAGTAAATGTTTTTATCTTGCAAAACCTTTGTTTTCCTAAACTTCCACTTGGCAATTCAGCTCCCCCAACTGTAGCAATACTCAGCCTCCCTTTGTGGTTATGCCTGTATTAAAAGAATAATTCTTGGATGCTCTTTTAAGAGGATAACCTACAGGCCTTATTTTAATAATTCAACTAAGCATGACTTTCTCCTAGATTATTGCCAGATAGTAAGTAAAGGACCCACAAACAGAATTGAATTGTCATTATTCCTGTGTACTACTCACTTAGAAGGTGCAAGGACCACTGGAGACCAAATTCATATCACCTGGAAAAAAATAAGCGTTCCCCGAGCCTTAGGAATGTGGCATTGCAGCTAGTCATCATAGAGACTCACCTAGCGCACACTTTAAGGAGGTTTTCACCTGGATGCCAGGGATGCAGAAGTTAGCCAGAGGAATGACCTTCCCATGAGCAGAGTTTAAGAGGGATGTTGAAGCCTCCAAGGTCCATAAGTAGTTCAAAGAGATCCTTTCAAAACGGTGCTTTTCAATAAGGGGCTGACTTTGCTCCCCAGGGAACATTTGGAAAGGCCTGGAACATTCTGGGTTATCATTGGGGTCCGGGGGAGGTATCACTGGCCTCTAGGGAGTAGGTGCCAGGAGGCTGCTAAAAATCCTATAGAATATGCAGGCCAGACCCCCACAACAATTATCCAGCCCAAAGTGTCAACAGTGTTCATGATTGAGGTCCCTTTTTCAAGGTGAGGGCCATAGAGAGATCATAATTATCAAAAAAAGATAATATGATACATCCAACAAGTATAATCCCTTGAAATTATTATTGGACAAAGTTCCACAGTCTCCCTTTAGCCCCCTTTATTCAACCTCGTTTCAATGCATTCTTACTTCAATCTTACTCAACTCACACAGTTCTCTTCCACCCTTATTTCAACATTACTTTGTCATAATGAACGTGTCTTTCTGTTTGTTTTCTTCCCTCAGGCCATGCTGCCAATAAGAAGATATCCCACAAAGAGAAATTAATGTCTGAGGGTGACTGCTGAGGATCCTCCAGTTCCCACCCAAAATCTGGCTCCCTACAGTCCACGATGTTTACTCATTTAATCCCCGCCACAGCCTGTGACTCAATTTGGAACACTTCCCATTTTTTTCCTTTTATTTAAAAACTAAACAAGGAATAAAGAGGGTACCAGCCCATTGTTCCATTGTCTGCAACTGACTTGGATTAATTTAAATCAACCCTATTGAGTTCAACAATTAAAATTTTCTAAAGTCTTTTTAAAATCCTTCTTTCAACTGAAATGCAAACTGCTGACAGCCTAAGTTAAGAGATCCACAATGTAAAGAAGCTACATAAAGGGAGACTTTCAAAACCAAACAAATAAAGGTGCTCAACCAAACCATACCAGGTGCACGGTGTTTATCTGCCAGAGCAGGTCCATGATTAAATTGATTTACATATTACAGTTCAATTAACTAGAACCCAACTCATCAACACTCTTAATTAAAGGGAATTACTTCCTCATATTTGACTTAGAAGAAAAGTAATTTTTTGAGAGCCCACTAAATTCCAGGCGTATTCATACATATAATCCTCCCAAGAGCCCCATCAGTCAATATTTCTATCTCCACTTTCAGGCAAAGACACAGTCAAAGAAGTTAAATTACAAATAAAGAGGGTATGTTCCTTCCATTAGACATACTGTAAATGGCCTTAAAATAGAGCCACCAAGTTTTAAAGTATGTCCTCAAGTTCTCAATAAACAGAAGTGGGCAAAAATAGGCTAATAATTCAGCAATGATAATAAGTAATATAATAAATATGAAGTAAATAATAATATAAGAATAAACTGTGTTTCATGGTCTCACGACTGTAAACCTACTTTTGCCCACCTCTGTATTCCATTCATAATTTGCTCTTTCCTAGGTGGTGGGGTCCTATATGATGACAAAAATAATTACCACTCACCATGAGGGCTTCCTACATGCCAACATACTTTAGTTATTTAATCTTCACAGCAGTTCTATATAGTAGGCATTATTATTTGTCTGTTTTACAGATGTACAAACTGAGGCAAAATGTATCCAATGTTACCCATTTAATGAGTGATAAAGCCTGAATTCAAACCCAAGCAGTCTGACACCAGAGTTTGCCTTCTTAAGAACTAATAACTTTATTACTTCCTACTAGAGGCCCAATGCACACAGATTCATGCAAGAATGGGTCTTCCTTCCCCTGGTTGCCAGCTCTGCCTTCACTCTAGCCAGAGCTGCCTCTCCGCCTTCCCTCGCTGCCCAAAGGCCTGGAGCAGCTGGGATGGTGCAGAACACCTGTGTCATCACCATGGCAACGATGCAAGCATCC